TTTTTGAAGTGTATGCACCCTTAAATTATGCAAAATTCGTAAAAGACCGTTTCACAGAAAATTAACAGTTCATTACACAGTAGTCTCTTTTTTCTACTAAGCATTTAATTCTTGGGATGAACTAAATATATTAAGCCAAAATTTAAAATAAATTTAGAAATGAAATGTTTAAAGCTCAGTAAATTTAAAGCACCTACTATTTTAAAGATGAGGACTATACACTGATCAAAAAGTTGACCTAATGCATGTTAGTTTGCATGTCTGTCAAGCTAGAGGCGGTCAAAAATGTGAACCTCCAGACAGATCGAACACCATCGGCCTTCGAGGAGGAAATGCGCTGTGACATCTGTACTCTACTATTTATCCGCTACCAAATAAAGGATGTCCTGACCCAACTTGTCTGCTTGATTTAAGGCTATGAAGACTGAGGTGAAAAAAAGAAACATCGACCTTTTAACACCAAGATAAAATCCCAGTCAAAAATTACTTAAATACAGGGGGGTACAATACCCTAGAGACATAGCTAAAAAGTACTTAAGTCAGGAGCATGAACTCGTTTCGACTCAGAGAGGGAAACAGAAAGGTCACGTCGTAAACGATTTAAGAATTACAATTGCGCTTTTAACTATAAGATCTGCATAAACTCACAGAATTCAGAATTAGACGAAAACAATAGACCAATATTGTCTCTGACTGAGTATTTTTTAGCCATCAACTCCTTACTAATTGTTTTTGGTTAGATCATTCGAAGTTTAAATACTGTGCATCAAGGAAGAGCTTCAAAAAATCCCTTCAAATAATCTCAGTACAGTGGTTTAATCCACCCAAAACTATGTTCTTACATGAAGGCTATCCGCTCACCATCCACTCCAATACTACTTGAAGAAGAGCCACAAATCGCCGAAATCGAATTGTGGTCTGCTTCATGATCCTGTCACTGAAGTCGCGGCTTCACATTATCAAGATATTGCAGGGTTGAGGTAAAAGAAACTAGGTGGTCACAAATTTTAATGTGAGCATCCTAAGTCTTTACATGTCTTTACAAGTCTTTTGGAAAAATCACCTTTGGATGAAATTAAAAAAGCTTACAGATTCTTATGGGAACCAAATGTGCTTTTGGGCTAGAAGCGGTTGGCAAACAAATGTCATGACGAGCTGGATGTCGTCAAACCCCGAGGAGGAGGAAACACTCCCTGAACACGCTCAGTTGTGATTTCTGCTCCACTTCGTTCATCCGATACTGAATGAAACAAGCCCCCAGTCCAATTCGTCTTCTAGTTTCAAGGGTATGAAGGTTAAGGTGGGACAGAAAAATATAGAGCCTAGTACACCAAAGACCTTCTTTTTGGTGGGGCAAAGCCTTCTTGTATATGGTGACCTAGGGTCATTCTTTTTTATTATTGAAGATAAGATATCACAAATAAACCTTCTGCATTTGCATAATTTTAGTACGATCATTAAAAAACACTGCAAAACACAGATGCTTTTAGAGCAAAATGCGTCAAAATCACTGAAAGGTTTTCAGCAATAACTTAAAACCCATCTAGCTCTTAGTTAACCCAATAAACAGTCATCTCTTTGAGTTGATTTTCTCACTTTCGCAACAAATTTACACCCCTATAAAAGTCTCTGACTCTGCAGAAGTGAAAGCACTTTTTGCGATCTTCAGCCACATAATTTACTAACAAATCTGCGCATACACAAAATCAAAATAAAGGAGCGACTAAAAAAAGAAAAAAACTATTTTATACAAGCAGGAAATTGTTTTTAGGCGGCAGACGTCATAGGCTAAATTTTGAACTTGCGTGGCCTTGATTAGGCTTGGATATTTCGAAGAACCTTCCTTCCCATTCATCTGATAAATGAATAATCTCAAGCCCATCCAATCTTTAGTAACTAGCACTAAAACCTCTACTCTAAATGCGTAAGGAACCGCTAATCTTTGTTGACGCAGTTTGCCAATCCTTCTGGAAAGCAGCTGCTGGAGGGAGTACTCAAGGCTGTTAGAGGCTGGAAGATGTCTTACTTAGTATTCATTATTATTATCTTTTTATAAATTCGAACTAAAGACGATCTGCAAAACCAGGTATTGCACGATGTTACCGTTCCAATGCCAAAAGAATGGGGTGGGGAGCAGAGGTAAGGAAGAAATGAGAGGGAAGAGAGAAAGTAGAAGTGTAATAGCAAAAGTTGGGATAATTGTGTAAATGTTGCGATTTTGTGGGACTCCTCTCTTCGATTTAGCCAATGAATCCACGCCTCTTCTGCAATCTAGCACCACGTTTGCCAATGAAGCCCCGACGCTTTGAAATCTCTAAAAGGCGACATTTATTATAAGTTGTAAGGGTTGGGAAAACTTTGTGGTAGTGACAGAATTTGTCGGATATGCAGCAACGCAGTGTGGCGAAAAGTTCACCATCCATAAGAGAGGAAAACCATAAACCATAGTAAACCATAGTAACTTCGGCCGATGTCCGCAAAATCGTCGCTTAGAATGTATTCCCAATTAGATAATTTCTGGTAACCTCATAAATGGGTTAACTCTGGAATGACTATTAACTTTCGCAACATTTACATAAAAAATTATATTCGAATACGCATTTTTGAAACTCTTAGGAATATACAAAACGACCAGAAATATCAAAAAAAAATAAACTTTGATGCCAAATCTGGATGATATTTGATTGGAATAGTCGTAACAGAGCCCAAAATGAACTTTTATAAAAAAAAATACATATTTTTGTCCTTCAACTTCGCCTGGAAGTGGTGTTTTAGCGTCTTCAATAAACTAAGTTGGATTACACGACAAATTTATGCTCTTACAAAATTTTTATTTCCCATTTACTCATTAAACAAGCTGCTACATTTCTTTTGCCTTATTTAATTTCTCTTACAGACGAAGGAATGTAGCTATCTCAAAGCTAAGTGAAACTTTTCTCTTCCTTCTTAAGGCATAACAAAACTACTTGTAAACTGCAATTGTCCAGAATTTTTGGAAAAGAAAATGAAACATAGCCTTACAGCGTTTTGTACTCCTTTCAACTGTGGATTAAAAAGGGAAAAAGACACATTTCCCGTAGTGCTGATAAGATATCTGACTTAGCAATTATTTCTATAAACCAAACACATTTTTCCTTTTGAGCTATACGACAAAAATTTTATTAAGTTTTCATAATCCATACAGATCAAGAATGTTGGTAGTCAGTGTGCTGACATCCCAATCAATCAAATTTCAGGTGTGTTAACATGCGGAAGGCGCTTCCACTATTATTTGACAACATCCCTCGGAAAGTCACCCCTATCCATGATCAACATTAAGGATAAGCTTACGTGAAAACAATTCCTCCTCTTCAAGAATTTTTTGCAAGCAGGTGCTTCGGATTTCTTGGGATTCCAAACAGGCTGATCTTGGAAAAATCCCATCACACGTCCTAAAATAAAAAGCAAACTCTAAGTCATGGACATCGTTTAAGGGGTATCAATTTAGAGTACCAGGCCAAAATAAGTAATGGGTAGAAAAGGAATTGTTTTAATGGTATTAGCTAACCTGCAAACGAGAAGAGAGACAAGTTCTTCTCCAGCGGGTGAAGCAGCACTCAAAACTTGAGAGTACAAGACCAAAGCTGCGGCAAAAACGAAGCATACCTGCTTTATCCTAAAGGCAAAAGTAAGAACGGACAAAACTATCGGAACCGATCTAAGAATATGGAACTGCTTGAAACTGCTTATAATATTGACAAGCAAAAGGCTGTCATATTTATGGAGAAGTGCGTGAAACTCTCTTTATGCAAAAACAATAATAGAAAGTATCTGACAGTCTTGGAGTTAAATAAATTTTGTGTTTTGGCCATGTCATTCCCGTCAACAAGCCAAAGGCCCTTTTGCATGTCTATAAAAAGTTTTGCTTGGGCTTACACAGGGAGGGGGTGGCCACCACACGTTCTTATGGGACTTAAATGAATAAAGTAAAAAAGACTTCTATTTGCCTTTAGAGGGAGACCAACAATTTAACTGCGTCTTTCTAATCCTGATTGAAAATCACCCGAAGTGTCGTCAGAATTTTCGCTGAATAGAAACGATTATTGCTTTATTACATTCTCACTGAATATAGAAAAATAAATAAGAGTTTGATTTTATTTTCCTTTTTTACTCAGGTCATTTGATCACTGTGAATCATCTTTCACTCTCCCATCATGCGGGTGCTTGTTGACCACATGAGAAAAATGATTTTTTTAAAAGACATCAACTCCATCCCTCCCAAAAGACGGGCATCCTATGGCACCAATGGGTGGAGGAATGGACGATTAAATATTCAAGCCAAAGTTAATTATCAATTGGGTCACGAATCAAGGGCGCAGTAAAGTGTTGTAAGTGATGCTTCACTTAAAAAATGAAAATGGGCTTGGCAATGGTTTTGCTTATGACCACGCTCACTCTCTCAAATACCTCTTTAAGGTGTTCAAAATGTTTAACTTCTGGAAGGCAAACACTTCATGTAATATGGCATTAAGTACTTTACGGGGGTCTAAAAGATTGCATGAATAACCCTTGAGCGATTACAGAATTCAAGTTTAAGGGCAGCAAGAGTATGAGGCGATTTTAGTTGAGTTTCCGTTTTTATTGTTCAGTTATCTGTGGTGTCGTGAATATTATCAAGCTTAAAATTCCCACAAATTGGTTAAATAAATAACCTTTTTCTATGATTTTCACCGAAATGACGCGGATTTATAATGACGCCATTAGCCACATCCACAAAACAATAGGCTTAGTGGATTGCACAAAAAAGAAACAAAGCGAGATCAACTTCAAAAAGGGTTTAATTTAATTTAATAAAATGCTAAAAACCAAAATTATTCCCTTTTTATGTTGATACTAAGACCTGATAGTCAAACTGTCAAAAAAGTTAGAAGAGGTTTTTTTCTTCTGCGTAAATGGATTTACTTCGTTTTTTTTCCGCAACAAACCGTCAGTAAAAGACTTGTGGAATAAGTAAAACACCAACGTAGACCCTAAATCACCACTAGCTACTGTTTTGAGCTTGTTCTACAGGGTTCGATCTAATCTCGTACCAGTGATTGCATAGAGCTGTGCAAATTTTGGAGTTTCAACACAACTACCAACCGCTTTTTGTGATAGCGCAGAAATAAATTGGTTAGAATAACTATTACACCAAAGTAGAAAGTTTGTATTAAATTAATAAAAGACAAAGCATCAAATCAGGGTAGTTAAGAGCGCATCAGAAAGGTCTTAACCTTGGTCGTTTCGAGTTACCCAATTTAATGCATTATTGACTCACGCGCGACACAAAGACTAGTTATAGCAGGCACTTAGCTTGGTAGCTATTTGTGTAAAAACAAACAAAGTGCTCAAAAACTTACATAATTTTTTGTAATACTTGATAGTATTGCACGCTGAAAAGAACAAGACTTAATTTTATACAAGTTAATTGACCAATGAATGACCGCTTCGTATGATGAAGGCGATTGGATTGGATGACAGCATGAGTAGGCATTCAAGGGCAATAACTAATGCTAATCAAGAATTTTGTTATTTAAGGAAAGCTCTTTTTCCCAAGTGCACTATAATAGCAGCCTCATCTATGTGAGTTAAAAAAACCATGATACTATTACTGTAGTGTCGTTAAGAAGACAAATTTGGGAGAGAAATTCGAGAAGAATGGTATTTTACAGTAGCTATTGCGATTGCATTAGCTTGGTACTTTGTTTAACTGCACGCTAAACTACACGGATGTTTGGGTCTCCACTAATTACACCCCACTTTATGGCGTGGTCATCGGAACCATGTTGAGACCCTGTTGATCCTTCTGTGTGTTAGCAACATACGTGATTCTTCATGTCACATTAAGGCAATACTAAAGACTATAATGATATCTAAGCCCTTTAAATAAGTTTATTAAATCCATTAGCTAAATACGTTCTTTTAATGCAATACTTAACAAAACAGTTCTGAGTTAATTTACGTAAGGTAAAGAATCAACATTTATGCAAAAAACGTACCCGGGTAATATCTGCCGCTTCTCAAAAATGTTTGATTTTAGCAGATATGTTTAACTTGGAGATGATTTGTTTTGGGAAAAAAATAATTCTGAGTTACTAGCAAATGGGATAACTTCAAACCAGCACACATCTACTGACTCGTAGACTGGAATAAGTTTGTCCAACAGTGATATAGGATAAGTAAAAACTACAATCAAAGTGTGTAAACTTAAAACGAATTCCGACCTTAGTGCTCTAAGGTGATCTGCCTGGCTAATCAAAATCTTAATCACGTTACCGTCACAACATTGATAGATGACACCTTGCCCACATTAGTACAGCTCCTTCTGAGTCACGCTTTACTCCTAAATATAAAAAAGATGACCACAGGCGAAGTTCGATCCAAATTAAGGCTCGTGAGTCTATGGTGAGAGAAACGAGAGAATATTAAAAATTGCACTATTCACTGCAGTATCTAATACTAAGGAAGGCAACAGCCAGGAGAGATTTGTCATTGACCCTATCTCCATTCTAGAATAACTGCTTGTGCATTGATTGTCCATGACGGTGAGGTCGATTGCCTTTAGCAGACAAACGATAGACCTTGTAATATTTGCGCTATTCAAATATTTCATTGCTAACTTGAGTGTGTTGACTTTGTCAGCAGGTATCCTTCGTTCCCTAATAACTTCATTATGACATACTTCTTCATGCTTACAGCCACTTCCTTTATTTTATGGCCGCTTCATAAAGTGTCTGTACTGACCCACGACAAGTAATGTGCATTGGTAACAGGGTCTGACTGATGTGTGTAATGATACCACCACGATGATACTCCATTTTAAAAGCAGTAATTAAAAAAAAACTCTACTTTGATCCAAGAACCCTTTATAAATTGAATACATGTCGCATAAATTCAGATACCGACATCGCGATTTTAATCATTAATGTAAATTTTGCAATAATTTATATAAATAATAAATAGTATAGGTATTATAACACCAACTCAACAATACACTGAGGAACTATCAACCCTAACTGTTAAAAATCAGTAATTCTTTCACATGATTATCAAAAAAAAAATATAAAGTGCATGAAACTTCGAACTCTGGCAAACAGTCAATCCAACCATCCATCGGTCACCAGCAACACTCCTTTAGCGAAGGCATTCTTCAAGGGTACGGCACACCAACTGTACTTATTGGTTTGTATAAATAAAAATGAATAAATGCAAAGACCAGACCTTCCACCTCTATCCTAGTCTGGAGTTGCAAACAGCTTCTAAATTCATAAAGTTTTTTAGTAAGATATAGGCTTGCACTTTTACCCATTTAAGTAAATGATGTGTCCTCTAATTAATTATTCATCTTTCCTAAGACACTTTTGTTTCATAGTGGATATTTAATGTCTCACAATCTCCTCTTGAGCAAGTCACGTATGTAAACTACTCTTCCTAGCCAAAACTTTGACTGAAAGGTGAATAAGCTTACATCACATTAAGCAGAAGGCGTTTTCTTTAAAGAGGACACAATTTGTAAAGCGAGGTCTCAGTCCACTCCTCTCGTCAACCGAAAGGAAGATTTAAATGAATCCTTAAACAATTTATTTCTTAATAAAACTTGCACAATAAAGCAAAATAAGTTTTATTCTTACCTTATATTCTATAAGTTAAAATCACTTCCTTTTTTGGTTTAAAAATGAAAAAAACGGCAAAAAAATACCAAATATGACAAGCTGAATCCTAGTGTATAAAGGAAAGGGCTCAAAACAAAATCCTTTATCATTTGCCAATAAATTGTTTCTGAATATTAGCAAAAGGTTGGCGGCACTTAAGGGACTCAAACTGCTGCAACCGCAGTGAAGGGAATCAACCTACCGACAACTCCCTTTCTGTGATTAATAGTCTAGACTTAGAGAAAAAAATTTAAAAGCTAACAAAATGAGAACATTTGAAAATCCGTTCAAATAGCATACCAAGACTAAACTGTAGTATGAAATCAAAAGGTTAGAGCTATTTATCTTGCTCTCTGAGATCAAAACTTAGAATTTATAATTAGGGAAATCGTCATATTGCGTGGAGAGAACGAACGATGCTCCGACTAGTACTGCTGATGCTGGAGAATTCCTTAGCAGGTAACGACGCTTCCCACTCACACAAAAGCATCACCTTTTAAATGGATCGCAATCGAATTGACTGGTCATGTTTTACTGTAGCACTACAGATCTTCTTAGAAGCCGTAATTAGTCAAGGTAGGAGAGAAGAACCTAAAATACCCACGCACAAAAGAGCAGTGAAATGCAACCTGCGGAGGCTAGGCTCGCTCGAGAAGTTAGTCTATGAATAAGTCTTGTGACCATTGTAGCATTGAATGCGCCTAACTTAAGTCGTTACTACTTATTCTTAATAAAGTGGCTGAGAAGTTGAAATTTCGAGCATTCGAGTAAATAATAAGCATTATGCGATTGGATTAGATTGCTCTGTTTTTAAACTGTGGATGAAAATTGTCTCCATCCTTATAAAACACGAGGTTATTCGCAAACACAAAAAAATTTAAGTAGATTAGCACCAAATCTAGACAAAGAATTCATTTCTATTCTCACAACTGCTCTGATAAATCATTCATGAAGTGAAAAAAGCACAGGTCCCGAATGTTCATTGCTTTAATTATTCCAGTTCGTTATAAAACGGGAGAGAATTGTTACATTTCCTGAGCAAAAAAAGTTATTTGCGCTTATTGACATAGATTTGTTTGATCAGAAATATTGTTTTACACATTTTTGTTGTCATTTTCGAACCAGGCCATAGCTGAACCCTGAAAGCTGAGGTAGGACCTTGGCCTTCTGCCAATTTCCAAATTAAAGGTTTAACAAAATTACTGATCAAAAGCGGATTTAACTCGATTTTATTTAACCTTTTTGGGAAAAAAAATTAGCGAATTTGATTCAAAAATCACTTAGAAAAAGCAGGGTTCTTACTCCTAAGTAAAGCGTTCACCCTTTGTGTCAGTTTCCAAGCATTTACAGCTACAAAAAACATTGCCAACTGGTTCCTAGGTGAAGAAAAATAATAATGCCTTAACCCTAACAACAGATTGACTGTTTTCGCCTAATTCGTTGACCCGAGGTCAATGCAGTGTTTCGCTATCTTCTTTAATTGTAAAATTTTGGAGAATTCGTTCCGAATATAGCTGTCTTTACGGACTTAAAGTCTGTGAAGTAATTCATGATTTTCGGATGTAATATAGATGCTCTGTTTTATGTAAAAGACTTAAAATCCTGTTATTTTTTTATTATATTTTCACTTGTATCCCATTAGTCTCTTCAAGTCACATATTTTTTGTCACATAAGGGGAGCCTATTTTCCATTTAGAAGTTTTCTGACTTGCAGTGAAACTTCGTTTGACGAGTTTTCCTAGAATGTAGTTGCCAATTTCCGACTTTTACGGTGGACAATGCATGAATAGTAATAAGACTCAAAGTTGACAGAGTTTCCAACATCAAACGCATGCCAAATGGTTTCGCTTAAGTAAAAAAGCTAAGGTAATTTCCTAAATTTATTGGAGCTGCAGAGCCACGTTAAGGCGACCCAAAGTGCAACTGTCTTCAGATCAGTTTTTAAAAATATCAACGCTAGTTGTAATGCGATAGTGGTTTATCCTTCTGTATTGGTGAAGCGCCACTTTTGTACTATGAAGTAGCCCCCTTGTACCTTCCTGGGTGGGCTGGCCTTTTGGGCCATGCCAATAGTCCAGACACCTTCTCTGAGCTGAATACACATATTCTGTCCGAGTATTTTGTCTTCTTTCGTCTTCAGGGAGTCTTGGGACGCTACATTGGTGGCAGTGGAAAGCGAACCCGATTTTAAAGGACATGTAGCCTGATTTTCCACTTCTGCGTGATAAGCCTTAGTCGAGCAGAAGAAGTACATATGCCACGAATGGGAGAATGGTGATGACCCCTAATAGAAGGGTTGATGTTGACGTCCACCTTCGGCATCTCTCCCAGTCCCGTGTTCTGCAGAAAAGCTACTAACAACTGAAGCGACACTAGCCGTGAACCATCTGGAAGTTTCGTTACAGATTTCCCCTACCGTTCCCCATGGACCTGTTTTAAATCTTGTACTTCCTTACTCAAATCTACTCTTAGGCCAGTGTTCCTACATCCATCTATGGGTACACATGATGGCCGACGCAACTCCCCGTCCTGAATCAAATCCCTAAACCGGACGAAACTCCAGACCCAGCCAATTCGCCAGGAGGGATCAGCGACGTTGAGGTCACGTATCCCCTCAGTTGCGCGCTAATTTGGTGACTGGCACGGTCGGCTTGTGGGTGTTTCTTTGCTGCACCGACTACGTTGTAATGGCTGACGCGGGAGGTTGACCTGTGGGAGCGCCAGGGACGACGCTCAAAAGAGGAGGGTGGCTATTTAAAACGATAGTAGTTTATCCCTCGGCACTGGTGAGGCACCACTTTTGTACTTTGAATTAGCCCCCTTGTACCTCACTGGATGGGCTGGCCTTTTAAGCCATGCCGATAGCTCAGACACCTTCTCTGCGCTGACTATATATTCTGCCTGAGTGTTGTGTCTTCTTTTGTCTTCAGGGAGGCCCGGGACGCTGCACTAGTAGCCAACAACATAATTTTAATTTGGGCTTTCTAGGATGTCAAAGCGAGCCAAGATATTAAGGAAGAGCATATTTACCAGCAAAAGGAAGAATTGGGGCTGCCAGCACCCTGGAAGACTTAAGTATTTGCATAGTCAAACAGGCAACTAAACAAGAAATCATAATTTTACGAGCCTGTGGCTCAAAATGTTCACTATCAATTAGGGAACATATCCAAATCCTTAAAAAAAACCAAAGATGAGATTGAGAAACAAGGCGTGGAGGCATTAACCGTAATTATTTTTTGCATAGTGCATCCCTTATACAATCAAACCGGCTTTCGCCAGTGTAACGGAAGAACACCGTTTCGGGTGACCGATTTAGGTTACTAGCAGTGAATGGCAAGGCTTTTTGACCACTTTAATTGCTGAGAAAAAGACTAGCAAAAACTTTATTGCTTCTTAATTTGATTGATCCGATAAATTGAAATAATGTTACCTTTGTTAAAATTCTAGTTTTATTTTTTCTTGATTATCCCACTTCTTAATGTTAAAAAAATCCCTGCCACCTAAATTAGGTAACGGAAATACAAAATCTGCACACATTAATAACAAACAGGATTACAATATATGTTCGATGGTTTCCAATTGGAAGTTAGTCATCGGAGGAGAGTTGGTAGACGCAGCAGTCCTGCGTGACAGTAGTCGTCTGATAAGTGGGCTTACTTCAATTGTGGTATATCAAATTTTGCACTTTGTTGCCACCGCCGCCTTTATAAAAGGGTGTTTTATAAAAAAATTTAAAAATTTTATTAGCCTAAATAAAGCATGTTGACATCCTACACTGGCATACGCTCAGCCAGCCTTAGTAGTTGGGTGGAATTATTTCCAGTCGTTCTGCAGTTGTAGGCCCTTGAACGCGTCGCTAATCATGCGCCAAGTAATACATTAAATTATGAATGTTTTGTTTGTGGTTGAAGCAGATAAGCATATTGTTACAAATGATATTTACGTCATTATTGTTAATTTATTAGAGAATAATCGTCGACCCTAAAACAGCTTGTTATGCTAAATATGAGGATATGGGAAAAATTTCTTTCTTTTAATAGGTTAATACTAAGGATTTCATGTGAATTTTAAAAACGACAAAAAATCCGAAAGCAAAATGGCTAAGTTTTAGGAAGCTAAACACGAATAGAAACTATGCAGTCATTTCATCCTTGGTTTGAGTCAATTTTTATTTGAGCCCTAATAGACGAAATCGGTTTTATTTTGCATTTCAAGGTAAGGGAAATAAACACAGTCCACATTTATTCCCAAAAGGCTAAACAAATGCTTGAAAAATTTCGATGTTTCAAGCCCTTGGCTGTCTACTCAGCCTTAAAGCCGTTATAAGTTTCATGATTCTACAATTGATTTGGTTTTATGATTAGTCTTTGCGTCACAATGAAAGTTTTTACTTTATATCCATAGCAAGGCATGTAGCTGTGGCGGTACTGCAATACTCGGCGGCAGTTGCCAATTTTCCCTCTTCCACTGCTCATAGCTGGAGTACACGTTCAGCTAATAAGAAACAGTTAAAATCTCATTGGGTAAGAGGCCGGTAAAAATCTACCCTCCTTCAGTAAACGCATGCAACAGCGTGTTATGACGAAGGAGGTGTCTTCTCAAGGAAGGCGTATCGTATGAACCACTTATATCAACAGAAGACTTCAACCACGGTGCAGTGCGGTCTATTACACTAAGGCGCATTACACTGCAGAGCGTTGCAGCATAGCACAGCAGAAAGATGACAAGGTTAGTAGCTGTGACAGAAGACTTTAGGTAATGTCACCCCTTCGAAGATACCCGGACGTGCGACTGTCGGTGATTTTTGGTGCCATGGTAAGTGCAACCCACAGCAGTTAGTCGTGCGAGCATGAGGTGGTCAAGTAAACCAACTGCTTCTGGGATCCCGATTGGCCTATAGCTAGTTATGAAATGGGGCAGTAGAAGAATCCTTCGTGGAAAAGGTGAACACAATCACTCACGAACTTTTGTAATTTAGAAAATCAAGCATTCTTGCATTGTCAACAACTTTAGGGCTTTGATTAATATAGATTGATAAACTACTGCACTAATTCTAAAGGGATATAGTACTGCGTTTTAGAGTTAAATCGAGACTTAAAAAAGGGAAACCGTGAGGACCTAGAGCAGATGACAAGTTGAATAAGGCCGTACTACAGGATGGTGCTAAAAATCTCTTTATACCAAAGCTGTTAGGCGTTAGCAGAATTAAAACAAGTGTAGTAGAAAACTATTTGGAAGGGATACCAGTTTCACAAATTGTAATTACTTTGTGTCTAACCATTTAAAAATCAAAAGGTCCCTGATTGACTTGAACGGCCTAACTAAAATTTTAAGGTTCTATATCATTAGACGTGTATAGGTAGAACTCGCATATTATTGACATGGGACCAAAAAAACGAGCAGATCTATTTAACAGACTTTACAAAATCACGCAAATTTAATTCAGCTGATCTTGTCAATTGAGCTGCAAAATCAACTTTATCGCACTTTGATGAGGTCAAGCGCAAATGGCAGGTCAGATGATAGTTCCCTACCGTCCCAAAATAATAAAATCGTTTTGCTCAATGAAGAAACAAACCCTTAGTCAAACATCCTTGCTACTTAAAAAGACAATATTTTCTTAATACGAAAAGTTGTTTCATGCATTTGAAAAACATTTTATGTAAATATTTCCTGGCAGAAGTAATGTTATGTCCTCGTGGCTGGACAGGTGCATTTTATAGGCATTCCCACTTTAATTATCATCTGCCTGAAAACAAATTACGTTAGGGTTAAGCGAGTGAAGCAGCCAGGTTTCCACTCATTCAAGTTTTACCCTCTTCCAATTCGAATGTCACCTGAGCACACAATTCAAGTCTTTCTAGATTTATCAAGCATGAGAAGATAGAGTACCTTGTAACTTTGCCTCCAGTGCCACTGTTCCAATAGCATGGCTATGATCAGGTAGAAAATTTATTTATCCAAGGTAGATATTTCTTGATATCTTTGATGTTGGAGATTGCATACGTATACAAACGGAGTTCAAATCAAACCGCGACTTGGGTACTAAAAAATTTGCAGCCTTATGACTCAAATTGAAAATTGATGCTAGTAATTGTTTCCACCACTTTCTCAAGAAGATTTTTAGATTGTTCTAATGTACGACCAGTTATACTCTAATCAGGCTTCGTGAATTTGCTGATATGCGTAACTACCTCATGCGCGCAGGAATGACTGCTATGAACTGTAGTATTCACGCTGCCGATTAGCATTAACGGGCGCACGTGTGTTTATCTCTGAACGCATTGCATGCAGTCATTGCACCGTACTGCAATGTATTGCAATGTAACGGGACCGCAGTGAGGTGAAGACTACTATTAATACGAGTAGATGTCTGTAGATTCCGCCGATATGCCTTTGCTAAAGCACCTTGTCTCGCCAACACGTGTTGCATGCACCCCTTCCCTAATGATACTTGAAATGGCTCCCATTAGCTGACCGTGTGCTCTGACTATAAGAAGTTGGAGAGATGAGCTTGGTAATTATTGCTTCTTGCTGCAGTTCTGCCACAGTTAATCGCTCTCCTGCAGGTAGAAACTTTACACTCCATTTGTAGCGCAATAATTGAAAAAAAATTTTGCTTTATATTACCTTTGGTGTTCAAAAGTAATGGAGCCCCCACTTAATACCATTCTACGAGCACTGTAAACCACACGGATCAGTGTTGTCAGCATCGTGGAATCCGTGGTACTTCCGAGTGTGTAATACCACTCTGCCTTATACAAATACCTCTACCAAGATATCTGCAATCGCACATAATCATATTTAAGCCTGCAATCAGCGTAATAAACCACGTGATCACTGGGCTTAATGCAACAGAAGGTCTGATGAAGACGCAATTCAGAGACATTAGTACAGAAAGCAAATAGATTGCACAAAAAATTCTCATTTAAATGTTTTCTTCTCCTGGCGCGGTTAGAGTTGCGTATCTCGCCTATCCATTAATAACACATGGGACAGGTGCCTTAAGAACTCTAAGGTTACAAACGTTCGATATTCACCTATCTATCCACATTACCTATTCAAACTGAATTTGTAAATAAATCTTATTTGTGGATTTAGGATTAGAAGCTCAAATTAGGATGCAATTTGGAAAAAAAAACAAGTTATGTAGTACTAACAGTCGAGATCGTTACAGTTAACTTTTTCGGCTGAGACGAAAGTATTAGCGTAAAATATGCATCTGTCAGAATTTTATGCAACCTTGGCATGAATAACACTCCTGACCGGGCATTGTAAAGGCACACGGACATCAAGACATGGCTAATGCAGAATGTTGGTGCGTTAAGATACCTTCTTTAAAAAGTATTTTTTATCTACGGAACATGTCACACGCTCATTGGGTCAAGTAAAACAAAAATATTTGTCCATAAATGATGCTTTTTTAATGATTTTAATTAGTAGTATTGCCATCGAAAGAAGAGATGCTTTAATAATTGCACAAAAACGTGCTCATCTAAAAAAGCAAAAAAGAGTGCTTATAATATCGCTATTAGATCAAAGTATTGTTTACTTGATAAGTGAAGAAGGCTCAGTTTGGCTTAAGTACTTTGTGACTCCACGTTCAACGAGAGAAATTCAACTTCTTCATTCACGTTGTATCAAGTAATAAAAGGAAGGAGGTTGCGGTGGGGGCGAGCCTTCATCAGATTTCGGAAACAGCTTTGACGATGACGTACTAACTATTGACACTCTTTAGGCTTCCATAAACAACAATAAGATTTATGCAACATAAATTGTGAGACCTACGTCTCTACTGATGTTTGAGGCGCCATTCGGAGCGAAATGGTTGATCCTCTGCAGCCTGTTGACACCATTAGCGCTTTCATACTTAACCCTTTTATTTTCGCACTCAGTGGTGGTTATAATGTTCATGAGTGTTTGTACATTTTGGACAGCATTAACTGTAGCAATACATCAACACAGAAAACAATTCACTTCACTCTACTCCAATAAGACGTAGTGTCATGTCTCTTTTGATGCAGCATTTGTCCTAAAATTAGCCCAATTAAAGAAATTGCAATTTAAGTACCACACAAGTGCCACTTTGACTGGCAGGGATTTTTGTGATGGGAAGAGCTGGTTACACCTTGAATTCTTGATAGTCTTGGGAAAATCACTTTCATGGCATGACAAAGCGCACGGTTTTCACCGGAAGGATTAACGAGAAACTAGTCTCCA